CACTCAGGAATGTGCTGAATGGGCTTCAGCCTTTGAAGTGTGTTTAGTACATGGGATTGCACTAGGCCTAGTCCTGAGCAAAACTGCTACATGTGGCAAATGTGAAATTTGTGCTACTCTACAGATCTACTCTTGAAATGCAGCATTTCTCAGTGATGTAGTTGTAGCCTCAGCTGTCATTTTTGAAAGTCTAATTTTAGCAAAACATTCTGGACTACTCCTGTCAAATATTTATAGCAGAAATTTTGTACAGTTGATTCACTGTTTTCCAGTCTGGAGTAAATCCTTACTGGAAGAGAGGTGGTTTGGTTTTTGTTTTTCTTTCCCTTCTGCAGATAAAAGAAGGGAGATGCAGAAGAGTAAAGGCACCTTATGGTAGCTTCCTTGTTTGTGTTTTTTTTTTTTTTTTAATGCATATGCATTCTAGAGCTCAAGGATAGGTGTAGTGCTTGAGTTTGGAAGCCATTGGTGAATCACCCACATGGGTGCAGCTCAATCACATGGGCCTCAGTTTCTCAAGAAACTGAGCTGAAGGTAAGAAGCTCTTCAAAGGGTTTGAGCAACAGCAGCAGCTCTGTTGGAGTTCTGCATACTTTCCTTGTTTCTCATGTGTGAAGGCATGCCCTTGCCTTAGTGCTCAGTGTAAGCTTATGCAAAGCTAATATAGTGACTTGAAGGTATTAGGGATTTAATGTAACTTCAGTTTTCTGTAGCTGGTTAACTGAAAATCTTGTTTAGGTCAAACAATCCTAGATAATTTGTAGATCTGTTAAAATGCATATCCTTGGTACTTTAATGAGAAAAATAGGGATTTTTTTAACTTACTTTAAGGAAAATTAAGAGAAAAATTTAATGTGGCATTACAAGTAATAGGATGCTGACAGTGGATAATAAATGGGCTGGAAAGACATCGAGTCATAAAGACCAAGCAGTCAGAGTATCTGATTTTGTTATATGCAGGGAAGTTTATTAAGCAGGAGGAAGCTCTTGTGTTTTATTGAAAGCATGAGAAGGATCCATTTGTAAGAGGAAAAAGTGCAGTTGTGCTCTCTATCTGACCAAGTGTTGAACTGCTTGTTTTGACGGTGTTGTGACAAAGAAAAATAATTTGGATGTAAAGAATGTAACTTTCAAATGTAGCATTCTGATGATTTGAAATAGGCCATCAACACTTCCTTGCTGAACCAGTAATTAAATTAAGAAGCATCACTGAAGGAAGCTCAAAGCAGGCAGTTATAGGTTTCCCTAGAAAAACCTGCTAATGTTCTACATTTTCACTTTGAATGCAAATGTGACTGTGTTCAGAACATGAGTTAAAATGACACTATTTAAAAACAAAACAAATTTAAAAAAAAAAAAAAAAAAAAAAGGAAAAAAAAAACAGCAGAAAAAAAAATTCCTGTGTAGCAAGACTTGAAAGGACACATAGGGATGCCATGCCTTTCATGAAGGCAGAGCTCTTATTCAGCTCATGTGGTTCAGCCCCTACTGTGAGAAAGACTTGTAAGAGGAATGGAGCCAAGCTGATGTTAATAAATGTTACTAAGCTCTCACTTAGTTGGGCTTCTCACTGTCATAAGCAGAAGGATATAGGGGAGGGCATTTCAAGCCAGGAAGGAAGGATAATCAAAGCAGGAATGGAAGTAACTTCAGGGAGTCAAGTAGTGTAGGTATAAAGGAAGGAAAGAAAATGCAATGAAAGGAGGGCAGAATATGCAGTCAGAAATAATTAATGTAATAGTTCTTACATATTGTAAAGTTTGAAGGTAGTTGTCATTATATGAAAATATTGACAGGAAGGAGGCCCTTTTGTTACATTATCAAAATAAATGGCAGTTTCAGTTTATGAGCAGTACTGTTACTGAAATGATTTTTTAAAAAAATTTTATTTGCAAAGTGGTTACTGAAACAGTGATTTTTGGAGGTTTTGCAACTGAAGGTTAGGATTTGAGAGACTAACTGAGCAAAAGCATATTTGTAGCATATGTTTTCTTTATAAGCCCAGCAAAACAGCAAAAATACTTGCTGTTAATGTTAGTACTGTGGGTGTTGGATAACCAGCAGTCGCTGTCAGTGAGGATACTAACTCACTGCATATTGTAGAAAGAAATGTTTTTCATGAAATAGAAGAGATTAATTTTAATGTGCTCTCCACTGACTTGATAACCTTTTTTGTTCCTGCAACTGTTAAAAAAAAAAAACCACAAACAAACAAAGAAAAAAACCAACACCAACCTACAAGGAATGAAAGGCATGGAAGTATCCTTTAATAATTACTTTAATAATTTTCTTTGCCACTAGTGCTGCATACTGACACTTCCCTAAATGAGGAGATACGCTACTCTGTTGTGTCTTGGGTAGGAGCAGAGTAGTAGGAATTTCACTATATTCATTTTTTATATTGACATAGTCATAGACTCGTAGAATGGTGTGGGTTGGAAGGGACCTTTAAGATCATCTACTTCCAACCTCTCTGCTATATGCAGGGACACCTCTCTCCAGACCGGGTTGCTCACAGCCCAGTCCAGCCCTGGCCTTGAATGCTTCCAGGGAGGCATTTACAGCCTCACTGAGCAACCTGTTCCAGTGTCTCACCACCCTCACAGTAAAGGATTTCTTCCTAATATCTAGTCTGAATCTACCCTCTGCCAGTTTAAAGCCATTTCCCCTTGTCCTATTGCTGTCTGCCCTCATAAAAAGTCTCTCCCCAGGTTTCCTTTTTCTGAGGTCGAGATTCAGGTTATTGTAGGTGTGAGTTTAATTAGAAACTTCCTGTTTTTTATAAGCTTATGGTTAATATTGAAAGAAGATGCTTAAGTGTGGAGAAAGGAAGGAAAGGAGCAGACTTTACTTAGCATGGCATTTACAGTTTTCTGACATTTAAATTGGGCATTTTGAACTTTTCTTCCCCCCCTGTTATGCAGGAATAAGGAAGTAAGATGATACTTTGTAATGTACTTCATTTTCATCTTAACCAAGTATTCTGCAAGATAATTTCTCATACGTTTAGGTCTTCTGGAGGGAGTGGAGGGATAGAAATATGTTTAAATCTGGAATTTTTGAGTGGCAGGTCTAGCACATAATATGCTAGAATATACCAGTTAGTTACCTGCATCAAACCAAAATAGCAGCCCTGGTCCTATTACAGTGGCAAATTCTCTTCACAATGTTCCCAAAAATCTTAGCTGTAAAGCAGCAAGAAAACATCACACCTGAAACAACCTAGCTGACATTAGCTAAATAATTACTACTAGATTCAGTAAGACTGTGATCCTCAAAATATTTATAGCGTGATACGTCAGCTCAAAGCTCGAGGTGTTTCATGGGTCTTTTTAAAATGAAGTCAAATGCAGTTTTAATTTTCACATGACCTTTTCCTCTTGGCACTCCTACAAGTGCAAGTCAGACGAATGAGTTCAGCAGATGATTTTGTAGGGGTTTTTGGTCATGACACTGTTCTTGCTGTAGGACATACTTTTTTTCTTAGATCTCTTGGTTTTCACTCGGAGCTGGAATTGGCTTTTGAGTTTTAGCTAAGCCACAAATGTTACCACGCTGTGGGATTTATGAGGAGCAGTCCATAGTGTCTTAGCAATGTGCTTGACTCTTAACAAGCCTGAGCAGAGTGAAAGAACCAACAGCACACCTCCGGAGAGTTGAAATGAGTGCTCGTGACCTTCTCCAAGTCAGATGAGAGATCTTGATACACATTTCTTTAGGTTAAATTTCTAATGTTATTTGACAGATTTCCTTCTAGCCTTTTGTTTAAGTGGATAGCTGAGTTTGCCCTGCTTATTCACAGCTCATTGTAGCTCATGCCTTGGCAACTGCCTTAACCAGAGAACATGAAGAGAAGTGTTAGATCTTCTCTATTTTTTTTATTTTTATTTTTTTGCAATTCAGAATTCATAGTGTTTGCAATATTTCTTTTTTTTTTTTTGTCTTGACTCTCTTTCTTATCATAGTGCTTCATGGCTTGTGTAGTAAAAATTCTAGTGTGCTGACAGGATATTTTGGCCCTTCAGCTTACCATAACTTTTTTCTTTGTATTAAAATCTTTGTGTCTCCTAAAAAGATAATAAATGATACTAGAAAGCACCAGACTAGATATTGCTGGCAGTGTTGTAAGTGAAAAGCAGTTTTCTGTGATGTTCCTGACAAAAGTTTTTAGGACAACTTGACTTTCCCGTCAGGTTTTACAAGCTCTTAGCTTATGTTGAAGCAGCAAAGTATAACAGCAAGTAACGTAGAAAATTCAGAATTCCATTCTGTGACACTTGGTGTGACACAGAGTTGAAGTACCACAGAGCTTTTAGTTTCATGCGCAGGTACCTATAATGATGGATTATGTAATTAATATGCTAGACAGTGGAAATTAAAGTTTCCACTTCCAGAAAGCATTTTAAAATCATTTTTAACCTTTTAACATTCTGAAACATTTAACATATTTTTCTTCTGATATATCTCTTGTTCCATCTGCACTTCACCAAGATGGACCGCTTTTCTAAAGTGTTTTAGATAGACAATATTTCAGTTTCCTGGACTAGAAAGATAAGCTTTTGTTGACTGTTTGGCCAAAAATGATTTTATGTGTTCTGTTGGTCTTATTGCCTATAAAACAAAGTGACATGTTGAACTGCAAAGAGAGGTCAAATACCTGGAAGCTTTAAGTCTGTCAGAAACATAGGTTAGAAGTATGAGGCACTTCAGCATCTGACTTTGTGGTTTTCTGATGCCACTGTCTCCACCGGTCGCTGTGTTTCTGGTTTTGGTTTTCACTCTAGGGTGGGAGCTGCTGCTGAACAGGGTACTTGGAGTCAGATATGGTTGTTAGTCTGGTTTTTTGGAGCAGTATTTATATATATATATATATTTATATATATCTGCTACCATTTGCTGTAACAACATTATTTTCTGGTATGACATTTTAATTTATATAATTATTTATAGAATTGGTTTTAGTAGTTGTTTTTGTTTTTGTTTTTGTTTTTTTTTTCCAGACACACAATGAACCCACTGATACAAGATACAGCTAGTAAACAGCTATAAAATGCCCAAATCTGGATCTGCAAAAACAGCTCAAATAGAAAATTCTGACAGTGATAGCACCATGGTGGAAAAACCAACTGCAAGAAAGGTAATAAAATTATATTCTTGTCTGTTTAAGTTTGGTGAAATAAAGAACATGTATTGCATCACAGCTTTTCCTGCTGTCATGAAAAATAAATACTTATCTATATTCTGATTCTGAATGCACAGAAAAAAAAATCTAATGCAGTTTTTTACATGCCTTCACATGTAAATTTGGGAACAGAATATAAGTCTTTTGTTGCAGCTTGCAACTTAGTTCAAAAGGAAGCTGAATTTTTTTTTTAATGTAAGTTAATGCATGGTTTTCATATCTTATATCGTATGAAGACTTCATACACTTACAAGAACAAGGATTCATATCTAATTTAAATTTACAATGCTTTACTCTGTAACAAACACATGAAACATTTTTGAAGGGTTGTGACAGTGCAGACCAAAGAGCAAACAAGTGTCTTAGGTTCCTCCTTCAAGACAGGAACTTGTTCCCTCTGCTAGGATGATTTGAAAGCCAAATGCTGCAGAAGGGTTAAGAGTAACACCTGTGCAAGAGAGTTTGTGTTAAAACTGTAAAGTCCAGTTTTGAGTGATGGAAAATGAAAGGATATGTGAGACCTAGTAACACTAGTGAAAATAGTTTGTTCATAAATGTAAAGTATCCCATCACTTTGTAACTTCTTGAATATTGTTGCAAATAACTCAGTTACTGCTATAGTTTAGCTCTTATGTATAACAAAAGATGCAGTTCACAATAAGAAACATCATTCTAAGTTGTGTTTTGCCCCGCGGAGACAATCCATTTCTCTCCAAAGCAATGTTTAAAGCTATGTTTATAAAAGGAGTCTGTGTCTGTATTCATACTTACTGTTATGTTGAAGTCCAAGTTTCCTGCAAGACCACTTGATGAGTGCATACAAGATAGGGAGATGAAAAAATGGGAGAAGATTTATACAGAGCATTAGACTTTTTAGTCTCTTCTCAGTTTGTTTTATGGGCCCCAGTAAAGTGAGGCAAAGGCAGACGTTTCTGCTAGCTGTAATAAATTGCTTAGATGAAGAGGAAGACTGCGGAGTAAAATGCAGAAAGGAAATTGGCTTACTACTAAACAGGTGGAATAAAAATATTTATTTATTCCCTTCTTGTTTCTGTTTGACATATGGTCAAGTTTACTGAAATACTGGGAAATTTAACACTTAGAAAAAGAAGGGAATTTGGGGGGCGTAAAACCAGGAAGAATAGAAAGGCTACTGCAGTCAAATCTAGTGGATAGTATTGTCTTTTTATTTACTTTCTTGGAAGTAAGATGCATTTTGGCAAGCTCTTGGTTTTTATTAGTTAAATAATCAATCTGATAAAAATATTTTCTGGCATAGTATCTTGTCAATGAAGTATTTCTGAAAAAACAACAACAAACAACTTTCTGACACCCTTGAAAATCTTGATGGTACAAGTAACAACTGCAATTGCTAGAAAAACAACTCCCTCTCAAATTTGGTGAGTTTAAGAGGAAAAAAAAATCTATAACAGATTAAAATGAGTTTTCATCTTTTCACTTTCATCTAAGCAAAAATAGAGGGTTTTCTAAATTTCCTTTTTTAGTATTTCTTTGCTAAATATATGGTTTGAAAAGCTTTTGCTTATAAATGAAATGCATTTGCTTATAAAAATATATAGAAATATATGTATTCATATTTTTATAGTGCATATTGCATTTTTTTCTTCATCAGCTTTTTGGATTTTGCATACAAACAGCTCTACAGTCTAAGTTAAAAATAGATCAGTTGGTCAAAATGAGTTTACTTCTCAGGCTCCTTTTCCTCTTCTGTGCTCCATATCTGACTCTCACCTCCTCTCCCTCTTGCATGTTACTGTAGTGGAAAAATGATGCCAGTGTCCTGAAGTGGCCATTGAATCTGCAGCCACTGCCAAAGGAGCTGCCTTAACAGTGACGCTTGCTCCCAGTTCAGTATTTGCTGATTGCCTTGAGACCTTCTTCTCCAGGAATCTGCTGCCTGTGATCCCCATAAGTTGTTCCATTTCTGCTACTAACAGTAGCAGCGCGCATCTGCTGGATCATTTAACCTCCATATCCCATCAACTGCGTAAAACGTAGCAAAGCTTCTGAAACACAGATACATTCTGGCAAAAGAGAGCTATGCATAAGTAACAGACCTTTTACACGAAGTTGATGATTTTTCTGGGGATCAGAAAAATGGACATGGTGTCCTTTGTTTGTCAGCAGGTAGTGGAGGTAGAAATATGGCAAATTTTTATTTGTTTTAGAAAGGAATAAAGTAACATTCTATTTTTGTAGTCATATAAACCCCTTTCGTTGTCACTTTGGGTCTGATGAAAGGTTTGTAAAAAAGAAAGGTGCGTTATTAAAGACTACAGTACGTGAGTTAGAAATATGCACAAGTGTGCTGAGTTCAGATTCTACATTCTTCAGTATTTGAGATTAATTTTCAAAGAAATGCTGCCTTCACTGGCTAGTTAAAGACCAGGAGGAGGTGGGAATCTGACCAAAAATACGGCTATGGAAACATAATGATGAACTAATTACATTGATACCAAAAAATAAACTGGTAAACTGCTTGCATTTTTGCATTCAGACTTATTATCCACCCTGTGTAGTATGAGATGAGCAAAATGTAGGCTTTGGCTTGGGGTTGTATGATACAGTACTACTACAAATAACACATAATACGGAAAATGTGAGATGTTAAGTAAAATTACATACATTTGTGTTGCAGTTAACGTCCTTGTGTCCACTTTTTTAGTGTAATAAATGCAGTTTGGTGGCTTTGCCTTTATTTTGAGAAAAATTGAATGTATGGCAAAGATATTAAATAGTCACTTAACAGTCACACGTGCTGTTTAACACATGAATAGACAACTGGCAGAAGTATTTAGCTGGCACTAGAATAATCTGAGGATTTTCACTTGTATTAGGAAACAAACAGACAAAATGTTGCTAAAATGTGATGTTTTTTTTTTTTTTTTTGATTCAGCCTTTTATGTTATTTGAAATTCAACAGGATAACACTGAAATTTGTGCTTCAACCAGAGAAAATTCTGAAGACAAATCTGTATTGTATAAAAACATAAAAGTGGCAAAGGCTGAATTTATAGTGATAATTTTAAGTGAAATATCTTTAGAAAGTAGTGGTAATTTCTGTAGAATAGATTTTTCCTAGTATGTGAATATTTGCGACTGTTGATTTAATGATTAAAACATTGATTTTAAAAACTTCATAAAAATGTTACAGGTTAGTTAACCTAATGAAAGGGAGGGGATGATAGTCCAGGTATAAAGAATACTAAAGCAAAAGTTTTGCTTTAGTGCAGTATTTTCACAAGGAAGTATTTTGATGAATCTGAACAATTTCTTGTCTGTCCAGTATTCTTAGTGCTGTGTGACTAATGAATGACCATTTATACTGCTGTGAGGGATGTCACTGTCTAGTATTAGCATTAAAGGACCCTGAGGTCTTCAACATTCAGATGATCAGTGGTCCTTAATACAGGAAGGAAGAAAAAAAAACCACACATTCTAACTACTTTGCACGTAGCTTTGGCTTTTTTCTTTAAATTTTTATAGAACAGTGCAATCAAGCTACTTCTGCACTTTGGCATTTAAATGTCTTTTTATTTGTTTCTGTGTCCAATTATACATGTTTGTTATTGGTGCAGAAATATCTCTGAGCTACTTCTGGAGCTTAATCTCAGTGACTGTAAACGAACAGAAAATAAGTAGTTCAATTACAGATGTTCTCCTATATGCTCATAAATGCATTGTGGGCAAAGGAGTCCTGATGTAAAATTATTTTCACATGTAACAGTTTATCTCTGAAAAGAACACTAATGTTAAATGACCCCACTCCCTGGAAAACTGTTATAGAATACCCTTAGTTGGACCCACAGAGACCTACTCCTGGCTCCACACAGCCCACCCATAATTCAAAGCCTGTGTTTGAGAGCATTGTCCAAACGCTCCTTGAACTCCAGCACTCAGGGCCGTGCCCACAGCCCTGTGCAGCCCATTCCATGCCCACCGCCCTGTGCTGCAGCCCCTGTCCCTCACCCCCAGCTGCCCTCCCCTCACACAGCTCCATGCCGTTCCCTCAGGCCCTGTCGCTGTCACACACAGCAGAGCTCAGCGCTGCCCTCTGCTCCCTGTCAGGAGCTGCAGCCGCCGTCAGGCCTCCCCTCAGCTCCTCTGCTCTGTGCCGAGCAAACACAGGGACCTAAACTTACACGGTGCACTCCAGACCCTTCACTGTTACTGTAGCCCTCCTCTGGATGCCCTTGAATGGTTTGATGCCAGTGGGGCCAAACCTGCAGCCAGTGCTGGAGGTGAGGTGGCACAGCACAGAGCACACAACCCGTTGCCCGGTGGCAGTGCTGGGCCTGGTGCAGCCCAGGCTGTGGGTGGCCCTTCTGGCAGCCAGGGCACACTGCTGGCTCAGGTCTGAGCTGCTGTCAGCCATAACCCCAGATCCCTTTCTGTGGGGCTGCCCTCCTGCCTCTTGTCCACAGGCTGTACACCTATCTGGGTTGGCCCCATCCCATGTGCAGCATTCGGCACTTCTCTTGTTCAGCTTCATGTGGTTGGTGATTGCCCACTCCTCCCATCTGTCAAGATCTCTCTACAAAGTCTCTCTGCTCTTGAGGGAGTCAACAGCTCCTCCCAGTTTAGCGTCATCCACATACTTACTCGATATATCTTCAAGTCCCACATCCAAGTCATTGATGAAAGCATTAAAGAGAACTGGCTCTAAAATAGAGGCCTGCAGCACCCCACTAGTGATGCCCACCAGCCTGATATAATCTCATTTACTATATTTTTTTTGCCTCTGACCCATTTGCCAACTGCTCACCCATTATATTATGTTTTTTTCTTGCTGTGTGCTGGCTTTTTTTTTTTTTCAGGAAGATACTGTGAGAAGCACTATTAAAAGGTTTGTTGAAATCCAAAGAATTACATCAGCTGGCTTCCCTTAGTCAACTAGGTGTGTAACCTTGTCATGAAAGGAGATTAAATTTGTTAAACAGGACTTTCCCCTTGTCAACCCACGCTGGCTGTGACTAACCTCCCTAAGTAATGGCCAAAAGATATGGTATAAATGTATTCCAGTGGTTAGTATATTAAGACAAAAGGAAAATGCTTTTAGGATTTGTTTTTCCTTTCACAGCTGATAAAATATTTAGCTTTTATTGGCTATGAAATTAGCTTAGCTCCTGAACAGAGGAATGTACTGAAGTTTCTGTTGTTACAAGACTTAATCTTTAATACTTGTCCAGTGAAAGTTGATACTATGCTTACTATGCTGTTCTAACAACCAGTGCATTGCTATGTGAATTAGTTATATTTTCAGGTATTTTCAGAGCTTAAAAAAGTAATTGAGTAACATCCACAGTAACAAAAAAGAAGCTTATATCAAATATGCTTCAGGGTACATGTATTTCTGTTTTGATTGCTTGTCTTGGGAGCTTAAATGAAAAACCGTCTAGAGTGTGTACAGCAGGCGTTCCACTCAGTGTTTGCATGAAATACTTTATAAAGGTGAGAACATAAGGAAATTTTAATTTATCTGAATTTGTACTTTAGAACTTAAATGGCTGAAAATTGGGAAGTAAATGGTAGATCTGTGGTTCAAAGCAGAAAAACATCATTCTGTAAGAAGCAAATTTCATCTCAGAGGACTCCAACAATATTTGTTCCCAAAACCATTTTAATACCATGCAGAATGTGTTTCAGTATGTAATTATCTTTGATAGATGAAAAGAAACACTTTCTTCTGAGGCTTAGTATATGTGCTAGTTTACAGATTATATGGGACTGTGTTGTCTCCTCTTGTGTATTGCCATTGATTGTAGATGTACCAGAAAATAGAGCTGGAATAGGGTATCAAGAGATTGTACTGATTGCTGTTAGCCTTCTAAGACTGCTTCTGTTAAACGGATTACAGATGTCCTTTTCATAGCATCTAGGATGGTTTTGCTAACACCAAAAATTCTTCTTGTTGCTACACCTTCCAGTGAGGCATGCATTATATGTTGAGATGTGCAGCTCTAGTTCATCCATTTGCCCCAGAGCAGAGTAAGTTGTGCTTGATTCTTGACAAACCTTGGCCAGATCTTTTCTGTAAAGCTTTAACTGGTGGAAATTTCACAGTCTCCTTGGGCTGTTTGTTCTGATACTTAATTATGGTGACTGATGTGGAGTTAGATGCTAAGTGGGAGGATAAATAACCTTTCCTTGTCTCTTGTTGCAGTCTAAAACCATTAGATGTTCTGTAAGTGTAGTGAACATGAGAATGTACAATGCCTTTCTTTTTGGAGCAATAGTTTATGTATCTCAACATTATTTTGTTTTTATTCCGTATTTTATTTGCTTAGTATTTTTCTGACCTTCCTTAGAAAATCCACGAATGTTCTAAATCACATGTAGAAAAGATAGTAGCTTTGTTGTAGTTTCATTTCACAGATCACCTGAAACTAATTAATAGATTTGTTCTGGCTGAATTTTGTACCTTGCTTGAATGCTACAGAAGAGATGTCTGTGCTGTTACAGGACCAGAAGTAGGTGAAACAGTGAATACTCACTCTTTAAGCTGAAGAGCATGTTCTAACCCATAGCACTTGCTACATCTTCTCACCTTCCTTTACTGGAAGTTTAATCCAAGAAGCTGTTAAGAGCTAATTTTAATGTGCAGTCTTGTGATTGTATAGTAAATTACTTCTAACAGTTTGGGTAAGCTTTTTTCAATTCTATTCCTTTTGTTTTGTGCTTAGACTGTTATTCAGATTAGACCATTAGAGGCCCTTTAGTCTGTTCAGTAGGCTTTATTACTTGTACATACTCACAGTGTCTATTACCTGGGGTTGCTTCTAGTTTTCTCTAATCAGAGAAGCAGCAGCCTTTTGTTTTTCAGTTTGTCAAGTGAGGGGATGTTCCTTTTCCACCTTTTGAAAATTAATTTACTAGTGTTTTTACTTAATCATCTGTTGACTAATAGAGCTGTGGAGTAGATGATGCAGCTAGTACATGGTGAAGAGAAAATGCTGTCTCTGTGTTGTCTCTTGATTAGTAAGCAAAAACATTGGGCTTTGCAGAAGTTTCTACCAAGCAGTCGTCTCACTAACTTGTTTTTGTTCAACCTTCTAGATTATGAAATATTTGAAGTTGCTGTTGTGCCCATCCTGTTTTTCTCATAAAGTATGCTTTATAAGTCTGAAATCCTGGAGTTCTGCATCTAAACATTCCAAATAACTTTTACTTGTTTTTTTCTGAATGTGATACCAGTTTGAATAATTTTCTCATAGGTTTTCTACAATCTTAGTAAATTTTATTTCAGAAGTTGATACACTACACTATTATCCTTGTTGAAATGGAGAGCTTTGTACAGGGGTGAATTTGTGGATAGGGTGGAGGCAGAGGAAGGCTCTTAGAGGTTTTTGTTATTGTACTACAGTTCACAGACTGAATTGAAGTGTGAGCTTTTAAGGTGCTTTTAATGTGATTACTGTGTTATAGTCAGAGAAGCAAACTGGGGTGGTCATTAAAGACTGTAAGACTTAGCAAACTCTTATCCAATTTGTATTGTTCCTTTGCATTTAGTCCAGGCTCTAATAATGAACAGCAGTTCTACAGTGATGTATCTGGAAATGCATAAAACACAGAAGATTCTCACTTTAAAAAGAAAAAATTGTCATTGATTATTTTAGTAAAAATACTTTAAAACATTTTGAAATGATTTACTATGTAATACACACTCTTGCATGCACATACACTTCTACATAGCACTCTTTGCAGTCTGTATGCATTATGAGACTATTCTGGTATATGCAAAAATTACTTAGTATACTTTTTATTTACATTAGAGCAAGGACAAGATTGCATCCTACAGCAAATCTCCAAAAGTGGATAGGAGTGATGTGGGGAAGGAGATGAAAGAAAAGTCTTCCATGAAACGTAAACTTCCTTTTACTATTAGTCCATCCAGAAATGAAGATCGCAATTCAGACACAGGTAGAACCTTTTTATTTCTTTGACTAATTATTTGTTGATAAAACACATCTTAATTGTGTATTATGTTTTTACAATGATTTTTTTTCCTATAGAAAAGGATAGTAAGTACAGCTGTTGTTTCTGATTGTTCCATCTCTGTCTGATAAGTTTTTCCTTCCAAGTATTACCAAGAGCTTGTGTGCTAGTATAGTTTATCTGCATTTTCTAGTTCTTTCCTAGCCTCATTCTTTTGTTTCTATTTTATTCATAAGTCTTTCTTTTCATTGTCATCTCTGTAAGTCCATTTGCTTAAGCGAGTAAACAGATGAAAATATAATGTAAGTGCCTTCATTTGAAGCCTTCTGTAGCATTTTTGGGAGAGGGAGAATGGGAAAGAAGGGGAGATGCTCTGTCCTCTGTGTAAAAGAAGTTGCTAAGTTTATGGAACTAACTGAACTACCCATGGAGAGCAAACGTTTATTTCAGTTTAATCTCCTTTGATCAGTTCAGGATGCTTCTTCCGCACAGGCAAATTGTTTTTCCTGACTTTTGTATATTCTGTTAGAATGGATTTCAGGGCTTCAAAATATGGCTCTTTTCTAGTTATAGTGAAAGAATCTGGGTGTTGTAAGTCCAAGAGTGGTGTTACTTCTTAGGTTAAGTGATTAGATATATGCCACAGTCCAGCAAGAATTCCTTTGCCAGCAAGACAATGACCATGCCCTCTTGTAAGGCCACCAGAAGATGTGTTCTCCTAGGTTCGGTACGGCAGTTTCTCATACGGTGCTTATTATACAATTTTAATTTTTTTTAAGAAAAGTTCTGTTAACATGCGTAGAATTAAATGCAAGGTAGAAGTAAATACTGATGTACATGCTGAAGTTTTGTCTAGGATTGGTTTCATGCAGATGGTTTGGTTCTTTGTTGTTACATACATATCTCTGTTAAAGAAAATATGCTATGAAATCCAAATTAAAAATAGCTGCATTATAAAAACAATACTTGTGGATTTAGAGTTCAGTTTTTAGCGTGTTTATAGAATTCTGAAGTCTTACACTATTCATAATACCAGTTGGTTCTGAAAGGACCATATTTAATTTACAAGTACACTTCCAGCATTTGATTTGTTGATTTTATTGCTTGATATTATATCGTAATTATTTTTCTTCATGGAACTAAATATATTTGGAAGTCATTTTAGCTTTTATCTCATGAATGATATTATGAAAACAGTTCAAGCAGGGTGAGAAATACTTAATAGAATAATAGAGGGCACTTAGCTTTAACCACTGCGTAGCAAACATTGCTGCTTGTTCTCTGATTCTTTGTTGACACATTGCAAATTTCTGAATGCACTGCTGCTGAGTTAGGAAGACTTAAGACTTCTTTTGCTTAAGAAACTGCTGTAGTAAACTAATGGAAAACTTTCAAGTCTAGATTTTAGATTACTTCCTTAATAATTTCATACAAGTTAGGACCAAATCTTGCTGTCTAATGCAGTCATGCAATGCCAGTTCAGATGCCTCTGGTGGCTGTCTGCCAAGAGCTGACATCTAGCACGAGCCATGCGAGGTCTGTGGCCTTCTGAAAGGGCCAATGAGACAACTACTGAATGGCACTATATGCCTATCTTCAGTCAACAGCAATCTAGTCTTAGTTTCTTTTATTGTGCAGGCTGTGTCTATTATGTACGTTGCTATTATTTGTTTGAGCAGATCTATGTTGAATGTACTGTCCTTGTTTGAATCCTAAGTTGATATCTCTCTTGCCACATCCCTGTTCTGCGATCAAAAGCTGCCACAAAAAGCTAATGCTATTGAGCTAGATAGGTATGATGAATAGATACCAAATTTAATTGCAGTGTAGCTTTAGCCCTTATTGAAGCTAATCTCCAATAATCTTACAAAACGTTCTACATGCCAGCTTTGTGTAAAACTGGTGAGATTGATGGTAGAAGAAGAAACATTTTTCATACCTTCTTTAATAAATTCTTTGATCAGAAGTTGTCCAATAAAAAGTCATCATTTGATGGAAATACCATCACTCACAATACTTAAATGTCATTTTAAAATTTTCAGTAATGTAATTGGTCAGATTGTTTTTAAATAACTCATGTTTGCATCAGAGTGAGAACAACAAGCAAGTGCTGCTGTTCAAAGAAGTTTGTTTGCTCACTCCATTTTACTAACCTGAAGAGAAAAAAAAAGTGTTTCTCTGTGTAATAAATGTAACTGCAGATTGGAAAAAATCTTTCCATTATGAAGATAAGCACAAGTGTTTCTTTTTTTTTTTTTTTTTTTTAATTTTTGTAATCTTGTTACACAGTTGACCAGCAAGAGTTACAATTAGACACTAATTTGTCTGTCTTTCCTTGGAAATTGTCTTCCAGATTTTCTGTTTACAGTAGGATGTCAATTTTGTTTTCTGACTACTTCAGTTTTTTTCTCTAAGGTAATCCAGACACAATGCAGTCATGTCTTGGACCTTTAAATGACAACTAGAAAAAACTGTTGTATGTATGTTTCACGTAGCTCTCTTATAACTTCTGCTATTTACCAATTTGTTTTCCTAAAATGTTTAGAAATTAGTTGACCCAGAATTTGTAAGTTATTTAAATCCAGAAAAATACGTATATTAGTTATCTTGGGATATAATCTGTCATGCTTAAATTGTCCTAAAATTAAATGCACCTAAAGCCCTGTTCCACGTAAATATATTACTTTTAAACTTTATTTTGTAAGCATTGGATTGAAAGGTTACTTTCCTACAAGGAGTGTTATCCATGTAGATTTGGCTGCATTTTATGAAGGCTGTTTAATTAATTTAATTAAGCACGAATCCGTTTGAAGAATTTTGATTTTGTTTAATAACAAGTAAGAAATTCCCTGGTGTTCTAACCACTGACAAACACCAAAAAGTGGCAAGAAAGTGAATATGAAGGAAGATACTTAAGTTATATATAGGAGATATAAGGATATATATTGGGGTATAGGGTTTGAAAACAGAAAGTAATCAAAATCTAAATAATGATAATAATAACAGTAACCTTCTGATGTTGGGGTTTTTTTTTGTTTTGTTTTGTTTTTTTTTTAAGGCTTCAGTTTTACAGTGAAATTCTCTATGAACTGATAATATCTGCCTGTTAAGGAGGTTATTATTGTTAAAATCGTACAGACATCAAGAAGACAGCTGTGAAACGTTCTCTGCTACAAGATAAAGAGTATCTAAATGGTCAGGGCTCCAGATTAAGTTGGAATTTTCCTGCTGATTGAAGCATAGCGTTCTGTGAGATGATGGTCTTGGAGCAGTGAGAACAAATCTTAAATATATTTTGCAGTAAGTTCAATGGAAGTTCCTGATCATTGCAGAGAATATCTTCTTACAGGATGGACTGTGGCAAATGAATTATCAGGTGCACCTGCTGCAGTCTTGAGACGCTTTTATTTTTGCTTTGTTATTGATTGTATTCATTTTGTGTGTTGAGCTTTGCAGGCTTTCTGAAAACACCTATGAGTTCTAATATAAATTTTAATAATTGTGTCCCTTGGCTGGTAAGGTCCCATAACTTGGTGAGAACAACTGCATTTTTATTTGGTAGTTGTAATTGGTAACATCTAGAAATGTTTTGCAAAAGCCTAATCCATCAGTGAGTTGGATTATTGAGTAGGACCTTGAGGTTGTTTGGCAAAGCTTAATATGATATGTGAGTAAATTGCACTTGTAATGTTTCTAGAAAAGTGATTAAAAAAGAAAGGAAAACAGATAAAGACCTGTATAATACACATATTAAAAAACAAAACAAAAAATCAAAATATTTATTTCACTATTTTGTTGATGTGTTATTTTTCCAAGCTGAATGTACCTCCAAAATTGTGAGGAGTTAATTCAGAAAGAAAATGAATGCATTTTTCTGGAAGAGAATCATGAGCACTAAATAGCATAAGCTATGAAACAGCAAATCATGCCAGACAAACAGAAAGGCATTCTTTTGATGGAAGTACTACATCAACTGATGAAGGATACAGATCATGTTATCCTTAGAGAGGCAATGGCGTAATCACAGTGAAAAGCTGAAACTTTTCCATTTCATTGTAGTTTTTCCTTTAAGTCCTCCTATATGCAGATTTTCTACAAATAGGGTAGCAGCGTCGAATGTATTTTTAGATGTTCAGAAATGTGAAATGCACACAGGTTATGAAAATCTCAACATTCAGTATGTAAAAGGGATCTCATTGTCTCCTTGGGTCCTTTTAACCATGACGGATATATTTTTAGGGGGTTTTTAATATGTACATAGCTCTGTAGCTTTCCATTCTTAAAATGATCTTGGTCGTAATTGTTTATATTTGGTTACTTTGGAATTTAGGATGTGCACTCCCTACCTGCCTTCCTGTGCCTGAAGAGCGTTGCATTACTGCAGCCTTTCTATGTAATCAAGCTTAGAAGATGAGATTTAGAGAGAGAGCAAGGAAGGCGGAAAATGAGTTAAAGGGAAATAAATGAAACAAAGAGAAGCACAGAGAGGGCTGAAGACGGAAGTGCAGAAAAGCAGATGATAACAAGGATCGGTTCAGGACTTAATGAAATATGGAATGGCTCATACTTAGGGACCTCAGTGGGACTTAAGCTTCTTATATGCTGTGTCTATTAATTTTTCCTTCTCTGCAGAAAGTTAGCAAAGTCTACTTCAGAGAGTCTGGCAAGGCTTTCATTCTTCGCAGATGGCAGACTTTCAATAAAGCTTTTGTCACACAGGTATTTTGAGGTTGAGATTTAGGACAGGAAGCTGAAAGACCAATGTAGATTACAGGGATAGTAATGAAATAAGGCTGCCGCTAGCGTCCTCCCCCAGCCTTGATACGCCTAAAATACTAACGTTAATGGAAATTGGATGAACAGTACCTAGCAAATGGTAATCAGTTACAGCAAGAATAAATGCAAGGTGTTTTGCTAAGAACTAAAAAGATCAGTGTGGCAATTGCACTTATTTAACTAACAATTAACAATCTATAACCACATTTTAGTACTTAAGTACTGTCAAGCACCTCAGCCAGTCACAGTAGAGGAAGTGGACAACAGCTGTTCTTCTTCCTTATTAAATTCTGCCTATTTCTTTGTGAGTCGTAGTCAAGTCTGGAGGGTGCTATGGTGTATATGGTTACATATCACTGTAGGGTGTGGAGTCATGTCTGACTTTTTACAGGCCCATTGGGAAGCAGGGAGATGGAAAATCTACCAAAAGTAGAGGTTATGGCAGAATGAACATGATCTATGGAAAAGATCTGATCATGAACCTGGTGTTTAGAGAAAGCAACCAAGGGAATTATTTACTCAGAATTTTGAGATGTTGTTTCTGTTAATTTGAGTCTATTTTAGAATAATCTCCAGGGTTTTTCTTCTTGTCAGCATCAGTTAGACTTTAAAAAAAAAAAAAACTCTTTCAAAAGTTTTAATTCCAAATCACCAAGCATCCAAAACACCAAGTCTGCTTTTCAAGCAATAATCTTAGTGGCGCTGAAGAAAAAGTTAGATATTATAGATCTAACATGTAAGGAATGTAAGCTACTTGGAAAATAGAAACAAGAATTTTTCAAGATAGCAAAAGAGCAATTGCCCAGAAAGCTGAGATAACTGGAAGAAATCAATGGTCTTGACTTAAATAAATGCAAGCTAATATCTATATCCAGAAAACACAGACAAAAAATACTTACCAGACAGGGAGATGTGTGGAATAGTTGTACAAGAAATATGATGGATTGAGATGTACTGTGCTTGTCTTATATTAAGATCATGAGATGTTGTTCCACTTAAAAGCTGTCTAGTCACTACTCACAAATCAGCTGTTTTGCTGTACTTCAAGCTAAATGCTTCTGATTGGTATAGGAGAAACTGATGTGGAAGAATGAAGGAAGAATGTTTGAAAAGGATGGAAGACAGACCAAAGTTTCTAATTTGCACAAAGTTCTAGTTTTTAAATTTGTTAGGGTATTAAAAAGTTATCCGATTTCAGAGCACGCTTAACTGATCTGGAGATCAGTGAGAATTCATAGGTACTGAACAGCTTTAGAAATTATCTGTTTATTCAAACGTATAATTTTAGCTCCTGGCTGAAAGCTTAGGCATGGAGTACTGTTAAAGAGCTTTAGTAAGTATTGATGAAATGAAAGAAGTTATGTATATAAAATATGTGAAATTGCTGTATGTTTTTGAAGGATATATATTTTAGAGAAGAAATTGCTCTGGCTTCAACTAGCAGAATAAGCTTAAGAAAAACAATGATTTATCCATTATCTAACAGATCTAAGTATGAAGTTTTACTCACTTTTTAACATGGTGTCTTAAGAGGAAAACTAAAGGAAAGTACCAAATCTGTATTTGAGGCTGAAAGTAAAAAAGCTGATCTTAAATATTTTGTTAAGTATCTGACTTGATACTCTGAAAATTAGAATTGTGACTTAGATAGTCTTACTGCTGTGAAACAGGTTTTTCATCTTTTATAATTTTTTTATTCATTCCTTCTTTTTCCTTGTTAGCTTTTTATCTTGGTGTGATTGAAACAGTTAACCAAATGTAATGCAGATGCAACGGTTCAGAGGTGCAGTTTCTGCTTTTTACCAGCTGTCATCAGTCTCCAGTTCGCATACATTGAAAGGATGGTTTTATTTCTAGAAAAATGTCGTAGTATAACAGTAGTTTGAGTCTCTTAACATTAATATTTCCAGAGAAGGAAGGTCCGGAGAAAAAGAAAGTGAAGAAGGATGCTGGAAATAAGAAATCAGCGCCAGTTAGCATTCTTTTTGGTTATCCTCTGTCAGAGCGCAAACAGATGGCACTTCTTATGCAGATGACAGCAAGAGACAACAGTCCAGGTGATCCTACAAAGCTAACACTTCTTCTTTCTCCTTGTCTAATTCTGTCCCCATTAGAATACTATGAACCCAGCAGTTTTTCTACAACCCTTGATTTTGATTGGAAGACTTTTGAATTATTACTAATTCTGGTAGAACTCTATCTTCTGTAGAAGAGAAACTTGCTAAAAAAGTCTTGACCTTCTGTATTTGTTGTGTGTAAATGTTTGCATTATGATAGCTGTAGAAGCTGAAAATGAGTTTTCTTCCTTTGATTATTTACCCGGATATAGTACATACATTTATTTAAGGTGAAATAATATCTATTTTTATTTCCATTTGGAAGGAAGCTGAATAATCTCTTTAGGATTTAATGGGGGAAGGAGATGCATTGTTTTTTGACTTGGAATTTCAAACTGTCCATGGCTCAGTTGTAGATAAAAAAATCTTTATGCATGATGATGTTTTACAGGTGCTTTTACAAAATCTGCATTTGAAAGTGAGAGGCTGCATTATTTATTTAGTTAGTTAGTTATTAATTTTCTATTTTTTATTTTTTTTTAAGAAAGAGAGCCAGATAGCTGTGTCCCACTGTATTTAAAACTGTTTATATGTAGAGAAGGGGAAGACAGTTTCATGGCAAAAGGAGGTGTCTTTATAAGGCTCCTCTGGAGTACTGTATGGGACCAAGGCATATTCTTTATTCTCTCACGCTGGGAAAGTCTATTCGTATATGAAATACTGTTGGTGCTTTGTCTTGTTTTAGAAAAAAATTATATCAGAGTATGTGAACTTTTGTAGTTTGGATAGGATTCATCTGTTCTTGAAACCTATATTTAAAATGGTAAAACTTTGCAAGGCATTTTTTTTACATTGCAAGTAGTCATTGTGTTGATACATCTGAAGTGTCAATCACATCCCTTATTACTCACTAGTAATTATCATCTTCGAATACAAACATTAAAATGAAGCAAAAACACTGCTGAGTAAGTGTAAATGACCATTTAAAAACTTACTTTGTAGATTCCAACTTGAATCATCCTCTGCAAACAACACCAGCACAAAAGAAAACTCCAAGCTCCTCTTCAAGACAGAAAGACAAAGTTAACAAGAGAAATGAACGAGGGGAAACTCCTTTACATATGGCAGCAATTAGAGGGGATGTTAAACAAGTTAAGGAGCTTATCAGTTTAGGTGCAAATGTGAATGTAAAAGATTTTGCAGGTAAGTTGCTATATGTTTGCCTGACTGTACAAATTCAAAATTAATGCTGAAGCTCTTAACACAGGTTTAAGTTGACATGCTGTATGCAAATTAAAAAAAAGTTTATTTTTTTCTGATAGTAATGGTGCTACTTGGTTGCTAGTATCTGGTTCCTTACTAATATGGTGTTAATATGTGGAGATTTCAGTTGTGGATAGGACCTTTCCATATAAAAATGTGTGCATGCTTACTGAATTTTGAAGAATTATACTAGGCAAAGTCTGTGACTGATAATGGGATTATAGAACATGTGAAGACAAGCAAAGACTAACAAAGGGTAGCATGTAATGTACATTGTCTTACTGGAACAGCTAATATGCACCAAAGCGGGACCAATGTGGGGTACGTTACAGTTGTCATCGAGGCTTAACACTAGTTTTGGTACGTAAGTATCTGATTTCATCACTGATTGATAAATGTTAGGATAAGTTGTAACCTGTAACGTATTTTTTTAGTGCCCTCTATTTGATATTTTACTTTTTTTTGGTATTCTTTTAGTAACCTTTTGATACAGAAATGTCGGTACTGCCTGTCTGTTTGTAAGACCTCCTAAATGATTTTTTAGAACCTGATGGCGAGTTTTTGCGTATTTTCCTTTTCACAGTCTCCTGGTGATTACATCTCTAAAACAAAACAAAAACAAACAAAACAGACCAAAAAAAAAAACAAAAACAAAAAACCAACCAACAACAGCAGAGTAAATGTGAGACCCCCTGAGTAATATGTCTGCAGAAGATACAATCTGTAGTTAGAGTCCAGTAATTGCCAGTTGTTGATTGGCCAGATACCAAATGAAATGCATTTACATACTGAGATAAGTACTTGCTGTTTTACCTTGGCCACTATGAAAAGATGTAAGAAGCCGTGTATTGGATAGAGATGTATAGCTTTGAAGGGGGTTGCGGTAATTAGGAGGGGTTGAAACAGTGAAGGGAATGAAAGAATAAACCAGGGGATGTGGGATTGGGTGAGATGAGAGGGTTATTGTGGGGTTGGGATCTAAGAGGTTTCTGTAAAAGGTAGGTTTCAGTAGTTGCTTTTCTCTTGCATGCAAAGACAACTGCTAAAAAAATTAGAAACATGAATGGTAAGTGCATGTTATACAAGCAGCATCATGAACTGCCCCAATTGTCTGCTTCTCATCTCTAGCCATTAAGTGTTGGGTTTTTTTTTTTTTACATTCACAGTAGGAATAAGTGGATTATGGGAAGGCAGGGAAATAAGAAAAAGAGTAACGTCATTGGTGGTTTGGGTTTTTTTTTCTTCCAAAAAGGCTGTGCTCCCGATATGGAGGATAAAACTTGAAGGAAATGTGACAAAGTTCATGGCATCCCAAGGGAATAAAGAAAATACTGAGAGTGCTTGCTGGTATTGTTAACTGGCAGAGCTAGCAGAATAACCAGTTCAGAGTTTTTATAGTCATTGCATAATGGAAGCAAAAATACAATGGAAGTCTGAATTAGAATTTTGACTAAATCTGTGGAGCAGCCTGCTACAGATGCTCAGATTGTAAGCCTGAATGGTTCTAAGAAGAGTTATATTCTCTATGGGAATAATGAGATGAGGTAAAGTCGCAGGTCTCAGTAAAGTTAAGAATGATGTGATATGATTAGCTAACATCAAGAGAAAATATTATTGAGATGGATTGAACTTTTTATTGTAGATAAGAAACAGATCAGTGATTTCTTGGGGTGACTGAATTTGTATTTGAAGATGAGGCTGCCCAGGGCTGCTTTATAGAGGAAGAAGAGAAAGGAAGCAGAAGCAGAATCCAGTGGGATCTTTGGAGAAGCTGTGAGGGGAGATGAGGATATTTAGAAGAAGGCAGAACCGTAGAATCACAAGGGGAATAGAAACAGTTCAAAAGGAGATGTTATGGATTAACTTTGACCAGCTGCCTGATGCCCAGCCAGCCACTCTCTCACTGCCCCTTTTTGAAGAACAATAAGATAAGGAAAAAGCATCTTGAATCAAGAAGATCGAAGAAGATAGGGAAAAAGATTAATAGGAAAAGCAAAAGCTGGATGTGCAAGCAAAGGAAAAAGGAATTCTTTCACTATTTTGTGATGTCCTACAAGTTCCTGAGAACCTGGACCTCAACGTATTTGCTTTGGATGATAACTGCTATAGCCACAAATATCCTTAATTTCTTACTCCTTTTGTTGAGGTTTTTATTGCTGACCATTACTTCATAAATATGGAATGTCTCTTTGGTCCACTTGGGTCAGCTGTCCTGGCTGTGTCCCCTCCCAGCTTCTTACCCACTCCCAGTTTGTTTATGTGGGGGAGAAGGGCAAAGAGAGAGAGAAAGCCTTAATACTGCAAGCACCTGTCAGCAGTAGTCAAACCACTGGTGTGTGCAAAGCACAGCACCATATGGGCTGCTGTAAGTTAACTTCATAACTTCATTCCAGGCAGATCCAGCACAGACATATAACTAATTTTAGATGTAGGAGAAAAGATGAGAACGCTTGAGAGCTTGTTCTGGAAATCAATTAGGAGCAAGTCATTGGGAATTTTGTTCAGAGCACTGGAATAGATGTGAATAGATAATATAATAGATCAAGGAATCACAGAAATAGATCAAGTGGAATCATCTCTTTTTGGTAATCCAAAGTGAGAAGAAGAGGTGGCTGAGCTTGAAATTCCTGTGTAAAGGAAGAAGTCAAGAAGAAGGGGAAGATTTGAGGAGTAAGTCATGAGTGGAGAAAAGTAAGAATTCAGGGTGTAGAAAAGCTCAGAGAATGAAGAGTTTTTTAGCTAAGAAGTTGGTGGAACGAAAGGAGGAGAAAATGAATTAGTAATGGAGGAAGTACCCTGCTCATGCAGTATTTGCCAGAATAATATTGCTGTGTGAGAACTGGAGTAAAGGAAACAGATGTTGAGAGAAAGCCAGGACGAGGGTTGGCGTGCTAGATATTTTGATAGGATAGAAAGGCAAAGCAATAAAACACTGAGAAGTATGAACTGTGGAGAGAATTAAGTATGTCACTGTTAGGAAGAAGACAGAGATCGAAAGGTTGAGAGCAAAATAATGTTTTTGGTGTGGATGAGTGGAAAAAAGACAAATGTCAAGAAAATGGAAAGAAGTGGTTGTAGCCAGGCAGTGCTAGAAGTGAATGAACCAAGTGATGATGGAAAAAATAATAGTTTTTGAAGATCAGGAAGATGTGTTTTACTACAGAAGAAGTTAGAAGCCTTGGTTTTTTTTGGTCGTGATGGTTGATTTTTTTGTTGTTTTGTTGGTTGTTGGTTTGATTTTTATTTTTTTTGTTTATTTTTTAAATAAGTATAAGTTATATAAAATAAGTAATATAAAATAAAAATAAGTCATATAAAATAAAAAATATATAAAATAAAAAATATATAAAATAAAAAA